TACCCTCCGATAGCTCCAAGAAGAATGGCGTCAGAATTTTTAGCAACTGAAAAAGATTCCTCCGGCATGGGAACTCCGACCAAATCCAAGGCTGCTCCTCCGACAGGCATCTCCTGGAAGTTAAACTCCAGTCCTGTAATACAACACAGCAAACAGAGTCAATTTCTAACGGCTAAGCAAAAATCGAGAGAGAGAGAGAACCTTCGAGAGATCCAGCTTGCTGAAGAACATTTTTGGCGACGGAGATCACTTCTGGACCGATTCCGTCGCCGGGAAGGAGAGCGATGTTAAACCGTTTTTTGGCCGGTGAAGCGGCGGAGCACATTATACGGGACGGTGCACGAGAATGATCGGTGAGAGATCCGGGGAAGACTTTGATCGGATTCAGCTGGATCTTCGTTTGCAAAATCGCCGCCATTTTTTTTGTTTGGAATTTGAAAATTTGGAAGAGTGATTGTCACAGTATTTATAAAAGTAAAAACATAAAAGCTTTTGTGGCACTTGGATAGGTGCGCACGTTTTTCGTAAGACTCCAACGTTTTTAATTTTCTTATTACGACGGCTGAAACATGTTCTTTTTACCTATACACGGCCTCAACATTAGCTAATAAAAAGTGTTGAAAATTCTTAGAAAGGTCCTTATTTGTTTTTTTTTTAATCAAACTAACTTTCATTACTTCAAAAATAAAAGCTAAGAGATATAACAATTTCATTCTCTAAATGAGAAACATAATTTGGAAAGAAGAACAAAAAAATTTTAATAGGCAACGAATGTCAAAAAGAAGGCTTTCGGGCTCATTGATCATCAACACTACCACTTCATAAAGGAAAAAACATGGCAATGGAAGCCCAAACAAACCAGATTCACTGGAAGGATACAATTAATAAGAGATATCTCTCTAGTTTGCCACAAAAAAAGAGTAACCAACATCAAAACAACTACTGTCAAAGCAAAAACGTAAAAAAAACTTGCATAATACAGAGCTAAATTGGGGAAGCCATTGGTTACATAAATTTTTAAGTACAAGGGTTGTTTTCTTTTCCATCTCAAAACAAAAAAGTCATTTTTTTTTTATTATTATCAAAAAATTTCATCGAACCACAGTAAAATATCTATAAATTATAATTATCGGAACTAAGATATTTTATTGGTGATAAAAAAAAGAGATATTTTATTAAGTTATAGAAATATTAATTCTAATGATAAAACATTTAAAATT